GCGGAGTATAATCCTCACGCTTTTCCTTCAACAGGGGCACCACAGGGACAGCCTCAATCATCAGGAGATCATTGTCCTCCTCTATCTGGTACCCATCCTTCGTAGCCTTTTCCAATGCCTCCATCCGAATCTTCATTGCATCTTGGTTCCTCAACAAAACCAAAAATGCCTCCTGTTGCCTTTTCATCCAACCTACCGACGAATCTATTATCTGCTTCCGGAAGACCTTCTGTGTCTTCTTGTTCCAATTATCCAGTTCCCCCTTTGACCTTGTGATTTCGTGCATCACTTCCCGTCGGATATAGGGCTCAACGAAGTTGCGTGTAAATTCCGCGAGAGTCAACTCTTCGGCTTCGGGGTTGTCCTTCAGGACACCTTGCGCGAAAGGGATATCGCTTAGGAAAGACAGAGCGGCGATGCCGGGGTCTGGGAGGACCAAATCTCGACATTCGTTTGGGAGTGTGATAGGAGCTGCATCGATTAAAAAACGCGATGGTTGTCCTAGGCCGCGAGTGTCAGCCATAATAAAGACTCTAAAAATGGTAGCTTCTAGAGGATTCTCATTTAGATCCAAGCTGCTGTCTGAACTCAACATTCCTATCTCGACTGTGGCTGGCAAAGCTTAAGTAGCCATCGTGGTCTTGTTAACGTCGGTTCCAACCAAAATCAGGCGGAGAGTTAAGCGAGGAGCTCGCTTAACGATATGCTGTAACGGGGGCTCCCTCAGGTAGATGGTTCCTAGGAATGCGCCCACACCAAACTTCGAATCTCTCGAACACAGGTCTTGCAAAAGTGTAAAGAATAAAAGTAAATGGTAAAACTTAATATCGTTAAGCTCAGGCTTATCTCAATTAAAGTCTCTAGAGAGGATGTTGATTGTGTCGGGGTAGGAGAGTTCTCGTATAATCTTTAAGTAGTCCCACTTACACCAAAGACTCTCCCATCAGGTTACCCCAACCATCATGAGTATGTCCTTCTCCGTAAGGGTTGCTCCAGCACCATTACCGTGTCCCCAAAGGGCTAAGGTGTCAGTGCACTCTAGCAGAATTCTCCTATATGCACATCAGTTTCTGCAAGGTGTTTACCAATATACCTCCCGGAGTGAAAACTTCTGCACATCAGTGTCTTATCAGTGGCTAACTGTCAAGACGCCTAGGAAAGCTAACTAAATGACTCTCTTCCCATGTGCTGTGACCTATGCAAGCTCCCGTAGACATCAGCTGTCTCCCGGCCAAGCTCTATCTTTCTTGAATACGAACTTAGAGGGTCTATGGCGCTTCCATGTGGAGCTGTGTTAGTAGCGGGAGGCGTGGACGCTGTCCATGGTCCCTTACCTCTGGCACACCACTCAGCGTGATAAGTATCATGCTATTAGAGTCTTCAAACAACCCACAAAGAGCCTACTGCAAAGGGGCACGTGTAGGCTTGATTGGCATAAAACCTTCCCAGATGTCTCTGGTACAACCTGGGACTACTCTGGGGACCCTTCCGGATAGCTCACGCTAACTCCGTCAGTTTTGGTCCGTTTTACTCCGTTCCTTTTGGAGAAGGTATCGAACCTTCTCACCTTCACCCCCTTATATATCCTGCGAACAGCCTCCGGTCGGACGGACGGCAGCGACGTATACAGTGTTATGGACATGTCTTCATGAACTCCATTTAACTAGTAAGACAGCAACTCCACCCATTTTGGCCCCTGACACCCGGGGCAAGCCCTGGGGCCGCAGGTACCTGTTAGGAATTATTCTACCAAGTTATAGCTTGTTCGGAGCACTATAGCTCCTCCCGTAGCCTTCCGATCAAAGTGTATTTAAGTGCCCATCGATCCTCATTGCGTAACAAACAATCCTAACATTTCCCGAGATTCCTCCGAGAACATTTCCGATGGAAGGTCGGGTAATAGTGTCCCAAAGGTAGGGTAAGTATTTCTATGGTGACGTGAAACCGGTCTCCACGGTAGGGTAATATGACTTTCCTAGACAGGGTAAACTTACCCGGCCTTCCGTCCTAACCTTAGGCCGCAGCGGACATAGTCACTTTACTTCCACTACTTAGGTACACCTATTTCTTAAGTACCTTCTGTTCCTTAGCATATCTAGACCATCAGATATCCCTTGAACATGCACTTGCATGCCCACCTAGTCTACCATGTTACCTCTTGGTATTACGTATGGGTGTAGACTTAGGTTGCCATAGCTCTATAACTTAAGATCGTGACGATCATAACTGGGAAGGCTTTTGCAAAACTGAACGGTGCTTCAATTTTCTGTTTCTCTGCCAACTGTTCAAACATGCTCATGAAGGCACCGTAAGGGCCTTCAAAGTAATCTTTTATGTATCGATTTAGGGAGGTGATACCGCCGCTACGTGGGCATTTAAGCGAGGGGGAGCCTTGAGCCCGAAAGATAGGTGATAGCTGACTCTGCGAAGCCCCGTCAGGCTGCGTAGGAGGTTGCGGAACGAGAGGGGGTAAAGACCCCATGATGGAAGTAATGAAAGGAAACTTTGACTCCAGTCGGGCGAAAGAAAGGTATCATGGTAGATATGATAATTCCCTGGAACATAAGAAAGGGTGTTCAAAGGAGACTACCAGATTGCGTAAAGAAAGTAAAATATAAAGAGGCACACCCCTTTATATACTAAGGAAATCCTCTATGATCACTAATACAAAAGAAAACTCTTGGCATAGTGGGCAGCCGCGACCTTTGTGTCAAGTTCCGCCATCTTCCGTTGCCCAGTGACGCATCCCAATCATTCAGCACAAAGGACCTCCAACCATGCAACCAAGAAAACCACAGCCAATATATGCAACGAAAAACCCATGCACACTCCATCTCCCTAGTCGGGTGGCCGTAACCACGTGACGCCAGCTTTCTACTAGCACCTTGGATGCCTACCCTGTGCCAATATTGATAGAGCTACCGCCTGTTATGAAAGGAGTCTTTACCCTAGCGGAGTTCGGGCAGTATCCTGCCGGAGTGCTGACTTTGATGCCAGATTCCTTGGGCTTCCTTTCTGCGCAGCATCCGATACTTTGGGGCCCGATTCTATATGACGCCAGCTTTCCAACGGTACCCCGGACGTCTACCTGGCATAAATATTAGTTGAGTTACGTACTGTTCTGAACGTGGTCTTTCTCCTGGTAGAGTGCTGACTTGTATACCAGATTCCTCTGGTATACTTTGGGCATAGTGTGTAATACTTGGGGGCTTGATCCTCCGTGATACCAGCCTTCCAACGGTACTTCAGACAGCCTCTCAATGCCAATATTGGTACAGTTATCACCTGTGAGGTACGTCATTCGGGCCGGATTTATAGCAAAGTGTTTGGGGGAAACTGTTTCTTCAAGTTTCTGTACCATGTATTACAGAACCAACTTGAATATAATGAGCAATACTATTTATTTGAACAGTTTCAGAATCTACATATGTGGCCTGGGTCACAAGGTCTAATTCTGGTATTGTATCCTGTAAATCGCAGCAGTGCTTGCTTGCATTCTGGCTGCCTCCTCAGTTCTGGCATCAAGGATCGCTTGCATTCTGGCTGTGTTCTGAGTTCTGACACCAGGGCTTGCTTGCATTCTGGCGGTGTCCTGGGTTCTGGTGCCAAGGACCGTTGTATCCCGAGATTCAGTACCTTGCTGTCTTGTATCCTGTTTAATGCTTTGTGTCCTGTGCGTCCTGTCTCCCAGATGTACAGGATGCATAGGACCCAAGCTTTTATGTTTGCTGATGTTTCACCAGTACCCCAAATGTCTACCTGCTACCAACATTGGTAGAGTTACAGCCTGTTATGAAAGTGGTCTTTATCTTGGTAGAGTTCTGGCGAGGTTCTCGCACAGTGCTGATTTGATGCCAGATCCCTTATGGGCCCTATGGGCACAGCAGCTAATACTTGGCACCCTGGTTCTATTTAACACTGGATTTCCAACAGTACCTAGAATATTTATCCAGTGCCAATATTGGTAGTATTTTTACCTGGAATGTAGGAGGTATGGTGTACTATCTCGTGGGCTTGGACCTTTTCATTCTGTGCTCTGTATTATAGAACCAATATGAATTCAAATGATCTGTATTTTGACACCTTCACAATATACATGATATGTGACCTAGGTCACAAGGTCCAGTCCTGGCATTGTATCCTCAAAATCCAGCAGTACTTGCTTGTGTCCTGAGAATGTCTCCTGAATCTGGTTGTGTTTAGACAATTCTGCAGGTACTGGGTTGTATTCAGAGAATCCTGAGAGTACTCAGTTGTGTCCAGAGAATTGCGAGAGTACTGGGTTGCATTCACACTTCTGGCGCCAAGAACTATTGTATCCAGTGCGTCCTGTGCATCAGAAGTACAGGACACACAGGATGCAAGCTTTTATATTTGCTGATGTTATTCTATAACAAACCATCATAATATTATTTCCTAAAATTCCTCTAAGAACTTGAACATTTCTGATACAAGATAGGCTACTAGTATCCCAAAGGTAGAGTAATTACATCTTTAGTAATATAAAAGCAGTTCTCAAGGTTGGGTAATATGAGTTCCTATGACAGGATGACTTCACCCAGCTACCCAATCTATTCTTAGGCCAGGGTAAGGCATAGGCATGCTACTACTGGTACTTAAGTATGATATATTTATTCCTTAAGTACTTTTTACTTGTAGAGAGAGATAGCTAGACTGTTGAGCATCTTCCAGGGTATGCTCCAGCATGCTCACCTCGTCTACCATTTGACCTTATAGTTACATGTATGAGTGTAGACTTAGGTTGCTATAACTCATTATTGTATGGTTGTTACAAAGATGTAATAGCATGAATAGTATTTAAACTGATATGAGACTTACAGCTCTTATATAATATTTTGTTATCCTTATCTATTTGCCAATCTGACATGCTACTTGGATTCATTTCCTTAAACTTTATGAACTTGAGACGACCTTATTTGAATGGTTCAACCTCTATTTTGTCATTTTAGTATTTCAGAAAGCCAATACCAACTAGACATACTCTAAGCAATATGATACCTATTTATTATTATTATTCTGTGGTCGTAGTATTAGCTTTAATTCCATAATTATTATATTTAAGTCAACTTTTGTATTCAAACTCCAAACTCTTCCTTCACATTAAGTTTGTTGCTATCTCCTCCTTCTATGCGCATCTCCTTCCAGCATTTCATGACTTTCAAACGCATTCCTAGTTATTATTTTCATACAATTGAGCCAAGTTCGTTTTCATGATATGTACTAAATTATGTGAATCAGCGGCCCAAATCTCTGGATACCGATACCGGTACAGTCCCGACCTATCCCCCCACATAGCTAAACCATCAACACAAAGCATAAACCTTCCCCAACCGATCAATAATAGCCACAGCCTCACGCCTGATCTCCTCCACAATACTCCCAGCCGGTGATATCTCCCTTACCAGTCCCACTCCGGTCCCACTATAAGTCACCTATCAGCACTCGCTCACGCTCCACTCCCCACCCACCGCCAAACACTGATTGAGAACATTGAGGGTGAAGCAACATACGCAAACGTGGTCAACCTCTCCCATTCCTCCGCCTCCACTGCCTTATCGTAGAGCGCCTTATTCCTAAGTCTCGACAACCCACTAACGTCATCCCGAAACGTATCATTAACAATAGCCCTGCCGTCGTACTGCTCCGGCCAATCCCCTGTCCCACGGAGCTCGTCATAGAGCCTTGTCCTACCATAGCCCCACCATAAGCCACTTACCCCACTCACCGGGGCAGAGTAGGTAAACAAACCTGACAGTCCCGCTCCCCCCGTCCCTAGCCCCAACCACAGCTCCCAGAAGCCCTGCATGTGCCTCGGACTCTGTGGATGCAATAAACCTCGTCCCCAGGACAACCCCCTCCGCCCCCAACCCCAACCCTGCTACAACCCCCCGCCCGTCCACAACTCCGCCGGCGGCCAAAATGGCCGGCGCTTTCCTTCCGCCTCCGGCTCCACCGCCAAGAAAGTCCACAACCTCGGGTACCAGCTGCATGACACTCCCCCTGCGGCCAGAAATTCCATGGCCGCCTGCGTCCCCACCTTGGAGTACCAGCACATCCACACCCAACTGAACGACCGACTCTGCCTCCGCGAGGCTGCCGACCTGCACCCAGATACTCATACCCGGTGCGCTGCTCTTGATTGCGTACACCCACTCTTGCATTTGCGCTTCGTCATTCGGCGCGAATAGCCAGACCGCGGCCGGGCGGTACGTCTTCAACACGTCGAGCACCGGCTCCAGCGGGGCTTTCCATAGGAGGAAGCCGACGCCGATGGGCAGCACCTCCGCAGGATCCGAGAGAGAGAAGGCTTCGCGGGCCGCTCGGAGAGCAGCCGGGACGAAGTCCAGGTCGTAGCCCGGTCCATAAAAGCCTATGCCCCCAGCTTTAGAAACTGCGACTGCGAGTTTGTAGCCCGACACCGCGCGCATGGGGGCGGAGACTATAAGGGGTGTTATGATCCATGGAAAGGTTTGGGAGAGTGTCGTAGGCCGGGAGGTCATCGTGGTGGAGTGTCCGGGCAATCTCCGTGTCGACGCAATGCTTTGGTATGTGGGGTCAGATATCGTGGGAATGATTCAAGCGAAAAAACAGGCAAGCGTAGGGGAACAGAGGAAAGGGCAAGGGTGGATAGGTGTCCTAGTATATATATGTGGGAACCACCGATTACTCGTCCGTGGTGCTTGCCCTCGCAGTCCGTGAATAATAACTTATAGCACCATCGGACTACAGTTACCCTCGGTAGACCCCACAAAGGACCCCCGGTGGCCAGTGGAGCCATTGTAACCGCTACGGCTGGTCAGATGTACCGGAATTGTCCATTGACAAAAATAACCGAAGATTGCAACCACTAACTTTGCTTTATTATCTAAAGCTAAAGACTCCAGCAACAGATATCTGTCAATAATACTTCAGCAACAGATTTCTGTTAATAATATTCAACAATGTTCTTAATCTTGTTAAAAAGTTCTAAATAATTAACGTCCTGGAATAGAAATATATAGTATATAAACAAATCATATTCAAGATATTCTAATTGCTATAGTAAATACTACTAACTATTAAGCTATTATACTACTCTAAATAAACAAAAATATTTTTATATATAAAACATTTAGGGCAGTATAATTTTATAGTTCTCAAAAGGATTTAAAGTCTAATCTACTTCTACTGCCTTCTGCTTCTATTCTAATTTGTAATATGGTTAGTAAGAAAAGAAAAAGATGTTTCTTATATATTATAACTGAAGTAATATGGTACCAGTTATATATAATATGAACTATAGATGGGTATACATTGTAGTACTTTATACTAGCAGTCTCCCCCTCGAGACCTTGAGGGTAGTACCTTGAGAATATATTTCCAAATTGCTTTCTTGTATTAAGAATCCTACTGGGCGCTGGGGTGCAACAGGTAACAATTCTTAATTTGTAGCAAGGTAATAGTTCTTAGGCCGTTGTCTATGTGATGCTGATAATCAAGTCTTGTTGACTTCTATCTTATCGTGCCTATTCCTCCAATCTTCTTAAGTTCCCGCTTTAGGACTTAATCATTTGACATGGGACAAGAGATAGTTTTCTCTCTTGGGAAGAGAGACAGTTCTTGGGTTTTTTAAGATGAATCTTTAAAGAGTGTAATGGTAGGTTTTATTGATAAAACTTTAAAGGTAGGAAATAAACAAGAAGAACATGTGAAGAACTAATACTCGGGGTCCTAGCAATCCCTCATATAGTAGTTCTTCACCTGGCGTAACTCATACCTGGCGTCACACGAACCCTGTAACTCATACCTATGAATCACATGAAATCCGTCAGCTGACTCCTACGAGTTGCTGCGCAATATTCCTAAAACCAATCAAAACATAATAATCACATCAGGTGTGCAACTTGCATCACCTGAGTAAAACCCATGACTCATAATTTGAGTCATGTGCAAAAATCATAACATCGTGTGACTTACAATTATGAGTCATGAACAGGTAAACATAATAACGTAGGGCGCACGAGTATGTGTCATGTAAAATCCCAACATACCTATAGCTCGGAATTCGAAGCTATGTAAAATCAGCCTTGCTTAGTCACGGTTTGTGACATTAGCTCCCCTCTCCCTCAGCCCAAGTCCCTTCAGGCTTCATTCGTTCCTCCATCCTGTGTCATGGTTCCTCCAGCTATTTTCCCCATGGTAGTAGCTGCGATTAATCCTGCTGACCTCTCGTGCAGTCCTATCTGAATGTTTTGGTGCCTCTTCTGCCTGGCTCTCCAACTTCCTTTCAAACGCGTTCCTTGCTCCTTTCTCTTTGCCAGCTCTCTCTCGAGTTGGCTTACCCTCAACTTGGTTCCTCTCTTCTTTGCCTCTAGCAACACTTGTGTTAGCTGAAGGTCTTTTTCTATCTCTGCTATCACCACTTGCTGATCCTCTACCTGAGGCAACCTTGGCATAGCTTCTTCTATCTCTTCCTGCCAAGATACCTTCTTGGCTTTCTTTGTCTTAGGCCATTTGGATTTTTGGGCCCCCCTCATCCACAACTCCTTCCTTGGAGTTGGTTTGATATAATGTACCAGAGCCACTGGCTCTCAGGTCAGGGATCTCGCGGGTGATCCCAGGGGCAAAGTCTTAGATGGCTATCAGTTTGCTTCCTGAGGCCAATATCCCATGCCTTCTTTCTCGCATTTGTGCACTTGGCACTCGTCGTTGTAGTATCCTGTCCATGACAGGTTTGCCTGTTCTCTTTCAGATGGTGGGGTTCTCGATAGGGGTAAATCTACAAGATTTACCCAGTCTTCATCTGTGGGTTCTTCCTTGACTGGTGTTGGAACTTGATACCCTGGGCTTGTTGATGTAATGTGTCTGAACATATCGCCTTCTGGAGTGTTTCGTAGGACTGAGGGTATTGGCAGTTGTTGGTATTTCTAACAGTAAGAGTCTGGTGTGTATAGCATGGGTATTACACACCCTGATTCAGGTATGTCCTCGATGCTGGGTTGTTGGTTTGCTTGGGTATCTTTGGTGGAATTGGTGGACTGCATTTTGTGCATTACCGAAGTTTTCTGCTGGAAACCAGGTCTTATCGTGTTCTGGTGAGTGTCCTGTCCACTTGGCTCTGTATTGTAAGCATCCGTAGTATAATCAAGAATTGATTATTTCTTCGAGTTCGTGTTCCGACTCGCTGTCTATTTCAATAGGTGGTGGTGGTAGTTTTTCTTGTAAAGGTAAAGGATTATCTTGATATGGTTCAAGGAGGCTGATGTGGAACATGTTGTGTATTTTCATTATAGGTAGCAGGTTGAGTTTATAAGCTCGACTTCCTATCCTTGCCAAGATTTTGGATGGTGCTATTGTCTTGTAATCCAATTTTTTCATTGGTCACGTCGTTTTGATGTTGTGTGGTACCAACCAAACCATATCTCCTGATTCCCGGTTTGGATTGGGTTTTCGGTAACGATCGTATTCTTCTTTGCATCATAGTTGTGCTGTAACCATTTCGGTTCGTAATGTGTCCTGTAGTTGACTCATATCATTCTTGTCTGTTATCTTTCCGTTGAGCATATGACCTATGGTCTCATGTTCTGAGTGTATTCCGTAATTTGCGAAAAAAGGTGTTGTCTGAATTGTTTCTTGGTTTCCATTGTTGTATGGGAACTTGGCTATGGATAGCCATTCGCACCAATCATCTTGTTAATAGTTGATATATGTGCGGAGATATTGTTCCAGTCTGCTGTTTATCCTTTCTGTTTGTCCGTCCGTTTGTGGGTGGAATGCTGTGCTCATTCGACTTTTGATTCCCAATTTTTCCATTGTTTCCTTTTATACTTCCGATATAAATAGCGATCTCCTATCACTGATAATGTCTTTGAGTAATCCGTGCAGGTGATATATTGCGCTGAGGGATAAGATTGCAAATTGCCGTGCCGTAATATCCGTCCTGTATGGTATAAAGTAACTCATTTCGGTCTGACAATCCACCACCACCAGTATGGCGTTTTGGTCATTTGACTTGGGTAAGTCTATGATGAAGTCTAATGAGATAGACTTCCATGGTTTTTTGGGTGCCTCGTTTGTTTTGAGTAATCCGTAGGGTGCGTGTCGTACCCCTTTGGTTCTTTAGTACGTATCGCAGTTCTTGACGTATCGTTCAATGTCTTCCCTTATCCTAGGCCAATAATATCTTCGGTTGATAAATTTGGTAGTTTTGGCGGTTCCTCCATGTCCTACATATGGCTGGTCGTGATGATGTTGTATAATATTAGTACGTAATTCTTCTTTTTCCGATATCCAGACCTTTCCATTGTACCATAAGTAATTGTCTTTCCGTTGGCACAATCCTAAGGCCACGCCTTTGGTTTCCTTTATTCCTTGTGCCAATTTGTCTCTGATCTCCTTGATGTTCTTATCCTGTGAACTTTCTTTCCGAATATCTTCTTCCAATGTCATTGGGGTGTTAATCTGGTTCAGTGATTCGTGTCCACTATCTTCTTCTTCTGGTTGGAAATATTGTTCTTTTGGCAATAGTATTTACTGTTTCTGTTTGATTGTTTCATCTTCGGGGTCTCTTGGTCAGTCTGTTGATCGTCTAATTAAGGCATCCAGTTTTCCTCCTTCTTTCCCAGGTCGGTATTCGATTTTGAAGTTGTAATCACTTAGTTTTTCCATCTATCGGATTTGTTGTCCATTTAGCTCCTTCGTAGTCATGAAAGGTACTAAGTTTTTGAGGTCCATGAGTATCTTGACCAGAGCTTGATTGTTTTATGCATATCTTCTCTATTCCTTCAGGACTTGAACTATTGCTAATAGTTCTTTATCATAGACGTCATAGTTGCATTCTGCTGGGGTCCTTGTTTTGGATCTGAAAGCCACTGGTCTTCATTTCCTATCTTCGCATTTTTGTGATAATGCCTGAGCATATGGATTTTGATGCATTCCTCTCAATCACCATTTCTTTCTTTGGGTCGAACTGTACCAAGATTGGTCCTTGAGTAATGTTGATTCGAAGTTCGTCAAAAGCATCTTTTTCTCTGGCTCCCCAATCCCATTTGACATCCTTTTTGGTCAGGTTATGTAAGGGCTTAGCCATTCAACTCAAGCCCTCTATAAACCTCTGATAGAAATTGCAGAACCCCATAAAACATTGGATGTCGATTTCATTTTTGCAGTATTTCCATTCCCATATTAGTTTGGTTTTGACAGGATCCATTCGTACTTCTTCTCCATTGATCATAAATCCTTGGTATTCAGTTTCCTTCTTATGGAATTCGCATTTGCTGGGTTTGCATCGCATTTCGGATTCCTTGATATCAGCCATTATGTTACTAACATCCTTTTGGTGTTGTTCCTTATTTTTGGAATATATAAGTACATCATTTAAATAGACGATGCAGCATATATCCAGGTACTCGTGGAGCACTCTGTTCATCCATCTTTGGAATGAGGCTAGTGTATTGGTTGGCCCGAAAGGCATAACCAGGTATTGGTATGTTCTGTATTTCGTGGCGAATGTAGTATTCCA